AAAGAAAGGACCAGAGAAGGAAAAAAACTTGGAGACGTTAAGTAAACTTATAAAGAGATAGGAGAGAAAGGGGGCAGGAAGGAAGAGGTAGATGCATGCTGGGTGCCAAGAAAATGCCGGAGAATGACAAGTGCATGAAGCCGTCTTGAGGCGTTAGAAGATATCAGAAATAAAAAATAGGTTTTGGAGGAGGGAAATGAGGATTTTCATGTCCTTCGAGAAATGCAAGTAAAGATCAGAACTTTTTGTGACTTTTTGTGACTAGACTGTTTCTTATTGGCCTCTCCATAAAGAAACTGGGCTGTGTGAGACCCTGCGTTCTATTCGGGTACATAAGTAAAATTCACAAATCTTTTGTTTTTTTCAATTTGGCCACTGTGACTTCTTAGCCTTCCACACTCATTCTGGCTCTGTGAGTTGCTGGTAGTTCACAGAGCCAATCATGTTTTTTCTCATATCTAAGTCTTTTCACTTGTCAAACATTGCTTCGTCTACCTAGAACACTCACTATCACCCCCTCTTTTACACTAGGCTAATGCTTACAGTTTCTTCAAAGTCGGCTTAAATAGTCACGTTCAGGAAAACTTTCTTCCCACTCCTTCCACAGTCTCAGGTCTGATGATGCACATCTGGGTAACAGAGAAAGCACATGTCTGCTTTATTAGTCTCTTTAATTCTGCCTCCCCCACCACACTGAGCTCCATGACGGCCGGATGGTGAACAGCAAGAAAATGAACAATATCTCAAGTGAAACTAGGAGAGGAGAAACACGTGGTGTAAGAACTCAGAGTGGTTATAACATTAAACCTCCTTTCACAACATTTTGTGAAATGTAGTCCAGCAGAAAATGACTCGTAAAGAACATATCTGGTTTATAGAGAATGACTGAGATTTATACTACCAAAAGGTTTGAAGATATAGAGTATATATGAAATCTCCAGAAATACTATTGTCTTACTTCTTGAACAAACTCCTAAAAATAGAAAGAAGAGAAAAAGCAGAGACAGATTTGATTAAATAACTACCTGAAATTTTATAACTGGTCTGAAATATATCATAAATAAACTTTCAGAAAAGAAGGTGGTATGGTAGCAGATATCCAAAGAATTTCCTAGAAACTGACCCAAACCACAAAGGAAAAACTAGAATAGGGAAAATCCTGTATCAGAGTTCTCATTGGTCAGATTCCAGGTGCAGATAATGAATCTACTCTGGTTAACTTAAGCAGAAAGATTTTTTATATGATTTCAGATGGCTATCAAAATCATTACAAAACTGAACAAACTCCAAGTTAAGCTTTCAGAAATCACTGAAAACCACACCACAGAACAAGCTATGAAGAAAATAGCAGCTCTGTAATTAGGCACCTACCTGAAAAACCTGGAAACTGTCACCCCATAATCAGGAAGCCACAACAAAATGGGATACCCCAGGATGGCATTTGCCAGCAAAAGCCAGAAGAGCCTACACTTCACTTTTCTCTTCCAAAATTTCATGCAAGTGCATCTGAATAGTAAACCTAAATCACATTTAGAACTCTAGCTGAAAGAGAGGCTAGAAAATGTAGCACTTAGTTTTTTTATTTCTTGCATACAGAAAGGTACTCTAGAAATAGATGAAAACAGATATTGAACATCAGCCCAGCAGATCATCCACAAACATGTGAGTGCCTCCTCAACAAAACATGGCAAAAGCTACAGATTTTTACTAGATATAATGAAGAGGAGATCAGCTTGGAAGACTCATCAAGAATATACCCACAATTCTCCTTTCCCAAGAGTAGTAATGGGACACAGGAAAGAACTAAGGAAATCCTAGGGGAAAATACATAAGTTAGAGGGGGCAGGACTAGAGGTGAGGTTAATACCACTCACCTTGGTGTCCTGTCACCAGCACATGCAAGGGCTATACTTATCTCATTGGGAGAGGAATCTTGGCCAAATGAAACCTGCAATGGGATGTTTTATGATCTGGCTTCTCACTAATGTAGCAGAATTTTTCCTACTGGAAGTATACTCTCCCAAAGTATAAGAACATTTCATATTTCTACCAACAAGGTAGGGCTGGCCCTAGCTGCATTATACACCTGGAATAAAATAAACATGACTATAGAATAGTGGTTTCAAACAACCAAACTGTAGAAATCATGTTCTCCTGTGGATGTATTTATCTTCCTCCCCACTCCCCTCAGATTGATAAATGACTAATGATTTAACTGAATTCATTCAGATGAACACCTTAAGTTCTAAAAGGAAGAGTCTAGCCATAGTATGTAAATACTCGCCATATGGAGGAAACAGGAAACAGGCACAGATCTGCTCCTGTTCAGGAATAAACACATAGGGAGAAGCACATAAAATGTCAAAAAGAAGTCAGCAATTATCTCCATCACCTCCAGGGAAATTTAGAAAAATTACAAGACAAGAGATAGGGACAGAGTACAGAATATTGGAGATGAAAAGAACACTAACATTAAGGAGGGAAAAAAAGAAACAAATAATGGTACAGTAGCATTTTAAATGGCACTAGAAGCAGTAAAGATTGGATTCGGCTACAGAAAATAAACTTCAGAGAATATTTCAGAATTAGAGAATGAATTAGCCAATAAAGTAGATAAAATACACAAAAAAACAGACCGGATATCTGATATGACTAATAAGTATCCATTTAATCAATGTTTTTGGACATCTTTGTGCCTAGTGTAAAACAAAATATACCATGTACAAAGATATTCAAAGAAAACTTTCCTAAACTCAGAAAAGGTTAAAGCAGATAAAAAGGCCTCACGATATACTAAAAAAAAAAAAAACATTAAAAGTAACTCAAATTATGTTACATTAAGGTGAAATATTGTGGGATGGAAAGAAAATGCAAAATGAGGCTGTTTTTTTTTCAGTGAGCATATTAGATGACAGAAAGTAATGGAACAATGTATATGAAAATTTCAGGTGAAAAATCATGAGCTGAGAATTCTACATTGAGATGTCTCATTCACCTGTAAAGGCAAAAACATTCTCAAGATATATTTCCTTAAGTTTTTGCATATCGTTCTTGCAATCTCCTGAAAAAAGGGCATTTGAAGAAATCTTTCAGTCAACCAACCAACACAATAAGAAACAAATTTTAAAATTAAGTAAGCTATGATATAAAAGACTATCAATTAGGAGCAAGTCACAGAATACTTATCCAAAACTAGCTCTAAAAATAGATCTTTTGTAGCCTTATATAATAAGTTTAGGTGTACACGATCATCCATTTGATTCAGTGAACTGGTGCAACAATTTCCTTAAAGACCAAGGTATTTTTCATCCAAAGTTCTGCAAAACATTTCATATTAGTTCTTAAAAGAGATATATTATTTTCTAAGTATGTATTACTTCCAGACAAAACTCACACTACACCAACAAAAATCAAAAGGGGCTTGGCAGGGATGGGAAGGAGAGTGTAGGGGTCATAGGAAGTGCTAAACTTATGAGGAAAACAGTCCCTCCCTCCTCCCGAGTCTCTTTTCTTTGTTGATAGGGAGCATTACCAAAATGTGTAACGCTAGCCCTTGGAAATGATTAAGAGACAGGAACAGAGATCTAGACAATATACCGATAGCCATCCTGTTACTTCAGCATTCCTCCAACTCCCCATGAGGATTCCTGTCTCAGGCAGCACCAAAACTAAATCACCAGTGATTTAACAAATTCAGACACCAAGCTTACACTGTTTGTCAGTGTTTTTCACAAATACCACAAGAAGTGAGAAAAGTAAGTCTAGGCTTCAACTCCTCTGCCAACTCCAGGGAGAGAAATAATCCGGAAGAACAGCTGGACAATAACAAAGCCAACCCAGCAAAACTCTCCAACATGGAGAGAGAAATGATTCATTAATAAAAGGAAACAAGCATAGAAGAAGTACAAAAAGGCCTGATTTAAAGGTTTTTACTAAACCAGAGGAAGAAGGAAGCCTTCTGAATAGGAATGAATGTCCCAGCTTCAATTACAAATTCTGTCCCACGGGAAAACAAAGAGACAGCTAGTTGAACCTATACAGAAGTACCCCGGGTTGGAAAAGGAGGGGACCCATTCAAGTTAAAATGGCTCTCCATTATCACCTACAGAAAACTTCTCTTGTGCTCACTCCTCACTTCAACCCCCTACTCTATTTTCAAGTGTGAAAATTAATGGATGGCATTGAAGACTCTTAAATCCATTCCTAACTCAACTCTCCAGGTCCTTCATCCTGTCCGACCCTCTTCCCCTGAATTCCTACAAGGAGCCCCTTTCTACTGTGGGACACCAATTATCTCCTCTAAACTTCAGTCAAGGAAGGAGTTGACGAATGTAGAAAAGAGAAGTAAAGAGTAGAGTTGTAAAGAGAGCCCATGAATTTTGTCCATTATTTCTCTGTCTTTGCCCAGTATAAAATATTTTGTTCTCTTTTTTCGGAAGAGGACTTCATACTCTTTCTTTCAATTCTCTCTCCTTCTCCCAACTCTCACTCTCCTGTCTCAAGAGATTTTCTTCCATGACTCATCCTCCTCTGAAAACCAGTACTTAGCCCTCAATGCCCATAACTGTCAATAAAAGGCTTCTTCTTTACTGAGGCCCAGAACAATTAAAAGAAAGGAGCTTACCCAATATTGAAACATAAGTAAAAGCTAACCTTTTCCACCTCCAGTATTTAATTTCTACAAGGCACCACAAGGTACAGCTATGATCACCTGGGCTTTCTTGGGAGAGGAAGATGGTACGAAGTGGGAAGGAAAAGGGAAAATTGGGTGTGCCTTCAGTGATGATCCATCGAGCCTGCAGTTTTGGAGAACCCAAGCAGAAGCCTCTAGAAAGTGGACTGTTTCCCAGGTGCCTCTTGTTAAACGGAATAAGTTTCTGAAGAACACAGCACCGGCTTCTCCCTCCCCACCTCAACCAAGCACTTGAAAAACATCTATTTATCCATCAGAAGCCTGACCCTCTCCCTTTCCACCACGTGAAAAAACTCACAATGGGACTGTCCCGAGGGCAGCCAGGAGTCCAGCCACATCCCTGTCTGGAATGGTCAGCAACTGCCTGAGTTCTTCATTTTCCCTGGAATCGGCTGCCTTCTGCGTCTCAGGTTCCTCACCACTAAATGGAACAACTACCCTTCTTTTCTAGAAGATGGAACAGGACAGGAGAGAGAAAGAGAAACAAATATTTCAAAACTGACCAAATTACTCTACATCACTTCCTCTGAGCCTTTGCACCCTGACCTCCCCCCACACCGCACTACCCACCTCCATGACCCGACTCTTACCTGCTGTTTGCTTTGCCAATTTTCCAAATGGTCTGCTTACATCTGACAGCTTCAGGTTGTTGAGAATGTCAGTCTCTGGATGGGGACAGAGACGAGTCGGGGTGGTGAGTGCATGGGGCATTGGTGACATGGATAGTAAGGCGCTTTCTCCCAGGAACGCTTCCCTCCACCTTCAGATACGTATCTCCCTGGCGATTCCACAGTTCCCTGGCATTTGCTCAGGCTGTGACTGCTCCTAATCCCTCTCCAGCTCATAGTCATACTGCAACCCTCTAGCTGATTAGTAACTGTTGGAGGTTATTGAGAGGACATGACCCATGACCGCTGGTTGACCCGTGAACTGGACCCAGGCAATTGGAGGCTCCCCACCCCTTCCCAGTCCTTAAAATGTACATTCCACCCAGTATCATTTCCATAGCCGAAGCTGTTTTCAAGGACGAGGCCCTGAGAGAGCAGTGTGTCATTGAGATGGTCTGGATGGTATATGGTCTATGTAACTGAATCCCATTAGAAAGATTCTAATAGAAACTTTCAAGAGTCTGGCGGGGTGG